GAGAAGATAACACTCTGGTGAAGACTGATCATCAAACTGAAGAAAAAAGTCAAACTCTCAAAGATAGAAAGACCTTGCGAGACATATCAAAGGAGAGAAAAGGAATCGGAGGTTCGATTTCAGTTTCATGGCGTGTTCCTCACAAGAAACGTGGTGAGAAACAACCTGGCTTTAACTTGGACTATTCTCCTCCCAAGACACACCCTCCTTCTCACAACTAAACATCAACTTAATTACTTACCAGCTCTCATTTTTTTTTTTCCTTTTTCTTTTTATTTTTTAGGTAGTTTTCTTCTAGTGATCTTGCCTTTCAATGATTTGGGGGTCTCATGTTTTTTCCCTCTAGGATCATATGATCCGTGAAGTTATTCCCAAAGGACAAGATGTCATATGTAGTCCTCACGAACAACTTTTGTGGGGCCTGATGGTCACCACATAACCCTAGGGCTCATGAGATATGTTTTAGCTAGCTAGCTAGCAGTCTGCTAGTTAGCACAACTATATAACACTTTTTTATAAATATAATATGACTGTAAAATTAAGATAATCAAGTGGATATTATCTTGTGCTATCAAGCCTTTTCATTCTGCTGTTTATAAATGCCTCTCAGAGAATGATCTTATGTATATATATAGCTCAGAGATAGTAGTCGTTGCAAGAAAAATTCAAGCCAAGTAATTTCCTAGCTAGCTCATACTACATGTTCCTGATCATGACCTCCTATATATGTTTTGAGAAGATATTTAATTATAGCATATAATTTTTGTCATCAGTGCATGCATATTTCCATATACAATATTGTTGTGGTGCAATCTGTATTTGCATGGGTTTGGTACGTATGATATGCAGCTCAACCATTTATTCCAAATAACTTTTTTGGTTCATGTATAATAGTTTTGTTGACTAGATAGCTAGAAATTTTCACTATTAATTGCCTACGGCTTTGCATGTGGTAGTAGTACTACTACTTGTTATCTTGGAATTAAATACCAGGAACAGCCTGATCTACAAACAATATGCAACCCCAGAAATGAAAAAAAAAAAAAAAAAAAGCTGAGACTTTGATTTCAGGTTATAGCTAGCTAGGTCAAGATGTGTTATTTTTAGTTTATGTTCATGTAATTCTTCTGCTGCAAAAGAGTTAGCTAGCTTCAGTTCTGATTCAGATCAGAATAACTCGTGATCATCAATTCAGATTCAGTCAATGTACTGATAACTGATGATCATGAATTCAATGTTCACACTAGACAATATATGTACATATGCATTTATGGATATATTGTCTACAGTCCTACTAGTAGGACCAAACTGTAATATAACATATAGAAGTGAATAACACAGCATGATATTTTTTCAATGTATAACATCAACGTCAGAAGGGTGTAATAATAGTTTGGACAACAGATTTCTTTTATGCACGTCCAATATAAGTGCTACATGAAATAAATGTTACTTCTAACTTCTGTATGTTACATGACAGTATGGTTCTGGTGACAGGACGGTAGATGAACACATATATACGCAATACGAACCTTAGGCATTGATGGGTGAGATAGTGTATTAATTTGTGGCCTGGGGTATATGGGGGTGGTTGGTTTCTTCACTTCCTCTGAATTAATGAGTTTGTGGACCTTATACTATAAGTTAGTCCCCACCGGATGCCAGTTTGCTGTTGAATGTTTGAAATATGAACAAATAATTATTAAGAGTTTGATATTTTTGGTCGCAAAGCAATCAATTTTCCGAGACCGAAAGAGACAGAAGCGCTTGCCGTTAGTTAGTTGTTACATGTTTTTTTGGCCATAGTCACTAGTCATGGTTCTGCGTACGTACCTCTAGAGAGAGATTGCTCATTGTTGGTTGAGTAATCTGCGGAGTCACATGCATGAAAAATCAAACCTTTTCAAATTCATTGACTGATGGATACATTTTCAAGATCTTAACATTCTTATTAGGCCATTTCATATGGGACATTTAACTTTTGTTTGATTAATTAGATTAAGGATTTGATGATGTCAAGAGTATGACATACCTCGTTCACTTTGCGGATTTGAGTTTTCAATTCGAGTTAAGATGTGACATTTTCTGAGAGTTTTTTACTATAGAAATCTAAAACTGAAAACTCGAATCGATGAAATGAACGGTGAGGATAACTTTGTTATTTGACCAAGTTAGATCTTTAGCATTACTATCCGAAGCTTAGAAGTTAGAACTAATACTTCAATCATGTTTTCACAGTGCAATCGACCACTTAATCTTCGTAAAGTATATATTGAGAGAAATGTTTAATTGTTTATATTACCTATTGCTATATATAGGTAACGCAACAGTACTTTCTCAGTGTAGGGAATTTGATACCTCAACGTGATCAACTTAAAAACCCCTTTTTTATCATAAAGTTAATTATTAACTTTTGTTTCTTGTCTAGTCAAAACGATTCACCTTTTCTTCTTCATCCTCTTAATTAATGTCTCACACTAATTTTCTGCTTAGTAATTCAATGATATATATATATATATATATATATATATATATGTTATATGTGTCTGCAGACAGTACATATATAATTCACATAGTTTAACCAGCCTATAGCGTCTATGGAGTGGTAAATTAGGAACCGCGTACGTCTTACTCCCTAAGAAACTGAGACAAATATTCAACAATTCGAGAGTGCATGTCTCCGAAAAAAAAGAACTTGTACTTGTAAAAATTCATTATTCAACTTAATTTCAAAATCCCAATAAAGCAAAATGACACTATATTAAAGAAGTATTGGAAATCTTGTTGTTTGTTATATTAAAAACAAACATCCTATAACCAGAAGGCTGAATCTCCAAGAATGGCGGTAAATCCGTAAACGTGACATTTCCCAACACTATCGTAGGGTTGAGTTTACACTTAGATTTCCTCTCTTCCCAACATATTAAATCATATTGTATGCAAATATCTGGAGTTGACATTACTTAAATGTGGCTACCAAAATTCACCGAGAATCAAGAATCTCCGAAGTTCTTGTTCTCTTTAAATAGTTTAAGTAAAACTCGATTCAAAAAAGCATTGTTGAATCTGACAAGTGACAAGTACTAAAGAAAATGGTTGAAGTTTCCGATTGTATTTCGGTACATAATTGTTTCATAAAGGTAACCCCAACTTGAGATGAGTATTGTTTTCAAAATGATTTTGATTTTAGTATAAAAGTAAAAATAGATTGTTTTGAAAATCATTTTGAGATCGATTCTGAAATTGTGTTTAGTTGATTTTTTAAGAGATCGTTTTGAGTATAATAAAAAAATAAAATCGTGTTTGGTTATAATTATTAATTAATATATTATAACATTGTTGATAAGTACTAGAAATGAAAATAGAAAAGGAAAAACAACTTTCAACCGTTTTCTAATTCATTCATAAAAACTATTTTTACTAATTTTTGTTTTCGTTTTCATTTTCAAAACATTTGCTAAACAAACACAGTTTGTAAACCGTTTTCATTTTCGTGTCTCAAAAAACAACATGAAACCAATTCCAAATGCTCACAAAATTTCAAGCATGTTGTAACTTGTATATATTTATGTCCTTTTGTCAAATTTCGAATGTCAGTTTCAAGAAAAAAAATCCCATCTCGATGAATTAGGACCACTTTTCTACATTTTATACACGCATGTATTGTTTTTTCTTGAGATGAATGACTAATCTTATGTCTAAATACTCTGGAAAACGAAATGCACCCAAAATCAATGTTCATTTAATGTCATTTCACATTTTCATCCACTTTTTAAGTCTTGAATCTTTTCATATATGTAAACCATTTCACATTTTCATCCATTTTTTATGTGTGACGACACACACATACACTTTTCTCAGTAATTTCTCCCATATGTGTATATTTACTAAGCTCCCACTCGAACTAAAGTTTCAAATAGCCGACACATCCAAACATTATACTCTTAACGGGAGCCAACTACTTGAGCATGGGAAATAGAGCGGAAACCATGCGAGTCTACCAAATGCTCCACCATCCATATGTAAATAATTTCACATTTTCATCCATTTTTTATGTGGGACGATACATACATACACTTTTCTCAACAATTTCTCCCGCATGTGTGAGTTCACCGAGCTCCCACTTGAACCAAAGTTTTAAATAGCCGACACATCTAAGCATTACACTCTTAACGTACTCGAGCATGAGAAATAGAGCGGAAATCATGCGAGTCCACTAAATGCTCCACAATCCGCACTTGCAACTGTAACCGAGTGTGATTGCTTAACTTGAATGAACTATCGGCTTTAATACCATTTGTTGGGAAGACACCGCATACAAAATTGTTCAAATACACTTCAAGAGCCTAATTTGACCCAAAAGATTAACTTATTAAGTATTAAGTCCTTTTATGTATATAAACTATTTCACATCTTCAATCACTTTTCATGTGGGATATCACACATGCATTTTTCTCAACAAAATACACATGATGTTCACGCACATCTTAGTTTATTGAAAATAGAAGAAAGAAAAAGGGGCTATGTTATACATCATATTCGGCCAGACCAATTAAATATTAGTCATTGATTATGACTTAAAATGTGCACTTATAGTTTGCTATAAACATGGAGAGTACTTTCCTAGACTCCCAGCCTATTCTACCTGTTTCTTTCGTGAAGAATTTCATTTACTTGTGAGGGGAAAAAAAAATAGTATTCACTTTTTGACTTTGGGTATTTCCCACTTGTAGACAACAATATATACAAATTTATTCATAGTTTTTGTAAATAATTAAATTTTATTTATGGTTATTGGTGTGTATATATATATATATATGCGCTTTTTGTTTAATTTTTTTCTTTTTTAGAGAAAATAAATAAAAGATAAGCAAAATTATGTGTATACGGTACATATGATATTCTTCTTCTCCATTGAAAAAGGGGAAAAAAAAAAGAAAATGGAAAGGTCCGACTCCGAAAGGAAAGCTAGATTTGTTTCCTTGCAGCAGAAAATGATATTTGCATCCATGTCCTTAAAATATACTCGTACTATTCTTAAACGCCCCCATTACTTTTTTCCCGCCTTATTATTATTGTTATATATTTATTTTATAAGTCCCGCCTAAACTATTAAAGGGCGCGCAAAAGATTTAAAACAAAAAAAGAAAAAGCATAAAATCAAATTGTTCAGCAACCAAAGAACAGAGTCAGAAAACAACCCAAATTCTAGAGAGAGAAAGAGAGAGATCATGGATGCGAAGAAAGCAGGAGCTTCGTTGGATTCTTTGATCTCTGCGTTCAATTCTCGAATTTCTGAGCTTCAAAATCTCGTCATCGCTCGAAACAGTCAGTCAATTTGATTTCTTTTTTCACGATTTTCTTATCTTATTTTGCAATTATACTTCCATATTTCTGCAATTGGTCGAAATCAGAGGAACAACGTTGGAGATCTGAATTCTTGTTCGATTTGCAGTGTACCCTGCGAGCAGCGTCTCGGATTTGTCGGCCGTCGACGTCGAATTGACGGCGATGGAGCTTCAGGTGCAGGGAATCAAGGACCGCTTGCGAGAAGAAACCCTAGTTATCCCCAAAGCTAAGGTCTTTGCTTTTTTCCTTCTCTCTTTTTGTTTAAATTTATGGTTTTTTATCTGTTTGTTTGTTTTGATTCATTTTAGGTGAATTGTGGTTTTTTGGGCCGTTAGACCTGAAGTAGTGGAGTAATTGATAGAAATGATAAAATTCCCTTTTTTCTCTGAGAATGATTCTTCTAATTAGGCTCGGTTGAACTCAAATGTAGTTTAGGTTGTCTTCATTCCCACAAATTTAGAGGAACGGTGCTAGTGCTACCAAGTTACTAATCCCTTTGTTAGATGAAAATTCTGTGGCTTTGGAGATGTTTCCTCTGATTACTTCTGCTGCTGGTTTAAGTTCTGGTTTTGGGAACTCTTTTATTTCTTTGAACCCCAAAATCCTTTGATGTTGTAGCTCGTAATCCTTGTAGTTGGGGTGCCAGCCCTTATTTGTTAGAGGTCCGAATTGCACCCTTGGCGTGTATCTGCGTCACTATTTTACACTGAGTTCTAGTAGATAGTGAGTAGGAAAAATGGTGGATTGGTAGGTTTTCCTAAGAAAATCCCATTTTTCATCCAAAAATTTTGAACGCATTTGTTAAACGGGAAGAAGATGTTGGGCATCAAATATCGAAATTCTAACTCTTTTTTCTTCAATATGTTTTCTTATTTTCAGCATGTCATTTGAATGAGCTTCAGAATTAAGAAGAAAGAAAAAAGAGGGTGAGGGAAGGAGGAGAAAACAGAGAGGATTTTGTGGCTAAGGTGCATGTATGGTTGCATAGACTTGCCTTGTTTTGAACCATCCGATTAATTCTATGGCCCTAATTTTGTACCGTTGTGTTGGGGCTAAAATACTGTGTCCTACCATAGATTTGACCTGATATTTGATAATAATAAAGGATGAAAACTTTTAGAAGGCTGCTTAAAAATTTCCCATTTTGTTTTGTTAACTGATTATATTCCACTATTACATCTATTTCAACAATTGATTTCAGAAAGTGATCGATGACTTGCTGAAGCAGCAGAAGAAATTGCAGAGCATGTCAGTATACGTTCCCTCACGTATTCCTGAAAGATTGCCAACACTGAACTTGGACAACAACAAATGGTATAGAAGCTACCTAGTTTTTTCAATGTTGAGTTTAATATCGTGTTTTCATTGATGTATGAGAGTTAATATCTTTATTGGCTTCAAGTTTGCAGCCAGAGGTCTCTAAACAGGATGCTTGTTTTGGGTCTTTGAAGCTTGAGGAGGAGCCTGCACCACCTAAGGTAATAAGAAACATATGTGCGTGCTTGTGTTTCATAGATTGACTCAATATTAGCTGAAAAATCACTTACAGATTGAAGGGACAAAATAGGATATCAAAAGGTTCACTTTCTTTTTTTTTTTTTTTTTTTTTCCGTTTGATATTTTCAGGAGAAAAAGGGTCGCTCTCCACCATTATGGTTCATAACTGACGTTGAACTGGATTTATTGCCCTCGTGAGTAAATTTTGTTTTAACTTTTGTACTAGTGGCTAGATGACTCCAGCTTAACAGTCACGGTAATTTGCAGTTTGCAAATACAACACTGAGACTTGAGAGACATCTTGAAATCTAGTAGTTGAGAGCATGTTGAGATACTTATAGATTAATTTTCCATGCTAAGCATCTATGATTTAAAGAAACACGGTGAACTTGTATTATTATATAGGAGTAGAATTCTACTAGGAATTAGTTATATAGGAGATACATGAAAGGTAGGCGTTGGAAAGCTTATGTAGCTCGTGGGAAGTTTCAAATACCAAAACGGAAATAGTTATATAGGAGTAGAATTCTACTAGGAATTCTGAAGGTAACAAATTCAGCATAAAAAAGGCCACAAAGTAAGAACAGTGATTCTCTTTTTTGAATAAGGAAAACAGTTAAAATTTAAATTAGTAGATAAGTTTGAATCCAAAAATAACTAATCTACTGATCTATTCCAAAATTATCTACACTAAATAAGATTAGCCATTAATTAAAAAAAATCTAATTTTCCACACTCCCTGTGAGCTGGTCCCAAAGGAACTCGTTTTCTACTTCAAGAAGATGACTCGTAGTATAATTATAATTACATATACAACTATAAATATCCTATGAGGCTCCTCATTCATATTCAACATTCAGCAGAACCTCTTGTTTAGGGCTTTAGTTTGGGGAGAATACAGCTCTTGATTCTCCTATCCTATTATTATTGTTTTTGTTGTGCTGTTATTGTCTTCATTATTATTAGCTGTTTTTTTTTTCTTTTTTTCTTTTTTTCTAGAAGTCTCCCTAGACAGTATTAGTATTCGTTATGCTTCATTATTTGCTTATATTGCACAATTATCAATGGTTTTCAGATTTCTATGTAAGGAGGTGTCCTTTGTTTTACCAAGTATGCAGCTTATGATTCTCATAATCTGTACACTTTGTAAAACACAGGATGTCCTGAAAACTACACAAATTGATTCATTATTGGATTATAATTACTAACAGACCAAAAGGAGATATAAAATTAAGGGTAGAGTGTTATTTTCAGTGTTAAAGATGATAATTTTGAACATATTATGCGACTACCTTTTATCTCATATAACTGCAAGTCTTTCCAATTGCAGATACATGAAAGGTAGGCTTACTCTTGAGAAGATTAATGCAGCTATTAATGACATGGCAACCTATGCTGAAGCAAATGCTCAGATTATAGCTGCTCCCAAGAAGAAGGTTCTTCTCATTCTCTTAATTTTGATTAGTACATGTAACATTAGTAATATGGCAATAACCATGAGTCTGGTTTATTTAAATGCAGCTTGCAGAAAATCTTTGGGAGAAAGCCCTTGTAAGTGAACTTTAAATGTCACCTTATTTTAGTTCCCTCTTTTGGCACAGAAAACAGAAGCCATAAAAGCACAATGTCTGCATGATTGCGTCTTTTCAATTCAAAATTATCGTGACTAGGTGCGAGTAACCAATTGCTGTCGACATATGCAGGAACTAAGAGACATTGCCATGACGGAAGCAGTCAAAGGAAAACATTTCATTATTGAAAGCGATATTAAGGGGCCGGCCCTGAAACGTGACAACACAGGCAAAGCAATAATAACTGTAAGAGTTATACATTTGTGGATTGAATTTGTTTCTCATTGTTCTTAATTTAACAAAAATATACTATGGTATCAAAGATATTTAAGTACACTTCTATTATTATGCTTGAAACTTTGGCAATACTTTTATTACAAAATAATTACATGAGGGATGACTTTGACATTAAATTGTACTTTATGTGCTTTTGGCTTTTGTAGGTCCTTCGTCATCTCGGGCGTATAAGCGAGGCACGGATTGGACACAAACGTGTCTTCATTCTTGTGAGGCCTTAATAAGGCAACACACGTTGGTTGCGTGGGCATGGCATATCTGCTTATGCCATGCTAAGTGCTAGAAGTTTTCGGTAGGGCTAAGATGTAATGACTGTAAAAGATTATGTTCGATTAGTTTTCGGTAGGACTAAGATGTAATGACTGTAAAAAATTATGTTAGATTTCCATTCCTTTTATACATTTTTTATATTTTGCTCGCCTTCTTTCTTTTGGTGTTTGCAAGCATGGTGGACAGTTTGAATCCCTCCCCCAAGTTCAAAAAAAGGTCTTTTTTCATTATTTTAATTTTCTACACGTGCACTCCCTATTTAGGACCATTGCAGAGCTAAAAGGTTGTTAAAGGTTCACAATTTTGTACTGTGTGACGCATCAAGAAGTTAACAAGCCCTGCATCTTTCTACATCAGTGTGTCTGCCAACTGAAAGTCAATTGAGTATTGAGAGATAGAGAGGAGAGGTCTAATCTCTTGTTTGGTTGGAGGGAGAGGAGGTATGGAGGGACGTGGTCTCTTTCATGGCTCACTAAATTGGATGGATCCTTCCATCAATAAAAGGATCCAAGCAATCCATCTACTTTAAAAAGATTATTTTATCTTCTAAATAAATTATTAACAAAAAGTTTAAATGGACAATGTAGGTCTTATTCTTTTTACAATTCAAGTCACAAAAGTTTTATTTTTACTGTGTTCTCGCACTTTATCGATATCCTAAATTGGAGCTTGGAAAGCTATGTCAACCATAGGAAAGGGCAAGTTTGATGTTTCAATGGATATATAGACCATATGATTGCATTCTAGAATATTCCTAATAAGAAAACCAAATTCTAAAAATATGAAAACTAATCATCAAAAAAGTTGATAGGAATTTATATGAGAAAACATAAAGAAATCATTATGTCTGTCCCTTTTTGGAACAGAAAACAAGAGTCATGTTTGCATGAAAGAAACTTTTTTCGATTCAAAATCATCCTCACGAGGGGAGAGTAAACCATTGCTGCGTATATTGTAGGAACTAAGAGTTACTGCCAAAAAAAAAAGGGGAAAAAAAACAGAGAGGATTGGCTCAAAGGAAAAAAAAACAGTGCTAGGAAGGCTTGGATCAAAGGAAGATGTGGTTTGCTCAAAAGCGCCTGAAATTTAAATATCAATACAGAATTCAATGAGTTTGTCATCAAATTCTAGTAAAACGAGCCACAAATCAGTATTTGGAAATTTTACAAAAACCTAGCGCCCAAGTGACAGGCTTCGAACCTGCATTCTTCCTGGCTTTTGTCTTTAAAAAGAGGCGACATTGCGTTCAGTCCAATTGTTGCACCAGCAACTCCATTTCCCATATTTTCACTCTCGAAAAGGCCAACTTCACACGTCCAATATTGGGAGTTGGAGATTAATGGTCCTCTGTAATTACAGAACAACAATATATTAGATAAAAATTACCATAAAATAAATATAGGCTTTAAAATAATGACACCTGACCTAATGCAGAAATGGGGTTGATAAAACACAGGACTCCCAAACGTGGAAAGTTTCACAAAACTGAAGAATTCAATCGTTTGATCACCTGCATGAAAAGAGACCAAGCTAAAACCCGGTGAGAGAAAGAGAGAGAAAGCATGAAAGTGAAGGAGAATAGAGATCGATGAGAGAGAGTCAAAATCAAAAAAAGAAAAGAAAAGGAAGAGAAAATCCACACACACACCAGAGAATAAAGAAAAGAAAAAAAGATGAGAGAAAGACGAATGTAAAACATAAGTTAACGGTCAAAAAGATTCAAAGAAAAGAGAAGAAAGTGAAAACGCTGCACAAATATACCGAAGAAATTTGTTACTTCGTCCTCGTTACTGCCCATTTGGACGTCCTCTTGATTTTCTTGAACATCGTAAGACCAGTCTATGTCGGTGCATGCCATCTCTTCTACTTCTTCAAAGAAAAAAAAATAAAAAATTAAGCGCACTAATTATCAAAGAATAATAAACAACAATATATATAGAGAATTAATAAAAAAAAGAACAAGAAAAGACCTTTTTCGCCGACAAGAAATGCATCGCACATTTCTACGTAAGAGCCACAAAAATCACCACTAACATTTTTCTTGTCATCGGTGTGCACATATGAGGTTTGAGCATAATTAACGTCCACGTCCATTTCCATATCCATATGACTCCAAGAATATTCTTGATCACTAAAAATGAATTCACTCATGATTTACCACTTCAAAACAACGTCCACAATCTAATTTTTTTCCTTGTATGGAGAGAATGTACTTAACAAAAGGCCTAATAACATATATATATATATATATATGTCTATGTATATATATAAGGTGTTGTAAACCCGGTATGCTCATACTATTGTATGTTTAATTATTGCACACAGAGACTGATTAATTACTTTTGAAATCTTCTTTTACACAAAAAAAAAGTAAAAATTAACCACACAGTAAATTCACTAGAGTTGAGTCGAAAATATAGCAATTTTTTAAACATATTATGGGAGGAGCAAAAAATAGCATATAAATTATAGTAACGATCTTAAAGTATATAAATGATATTAATTTTTGGTATTTGTAGGAATAATACCCAAAACACCGCTATCTTTGATCAAAATACCATTTTCGCCTATCTTACTATGTAAATACCTAAAACACCCTGTGTTTATAAAAACAGACCCAAAATACGGTTGATGCAAATACAAATATTAGTGCCACACAACATTTGGCAAATTAGACAATCATAGGCGGTTGCTTCTGATTCTTCTATACTTATTAAATTATTATTGTATTTGGAAATTTTTCTTTTTGAAATGACATTACATATGTGAGCTCAAAATAGAATCAATATTGGTATCAACAGTAGCATTGGAGATGGTCTTGATATATTAAAATTTTCTTGCAAATTTTTGAGAAGAATTCTACCAAAATTGATAATTATGGTATTTGGTTGCGTTATCAAGACTTCAACTGTCCCTACCAAGCTTTGTAAGAGAGAGAGCACAAAACAATTCCACAACTCGAAGACTGTAACTGTCCCTGAGTAATTGTCACTAATGCTCATTTTAGTTGTAATTATATTGTGAATGAAGAAATAAAAAAAAAGAGAATTAATTATCATAAATTTATTGTTAAAAAATTCAAAATCATAGCATTTTTTTTAAAGTTAAACAAGTATTTCTAAATACCAAAAATAATTATATATATTGAAGTTTCATACCATGTCTATTTTAGTCATTTTACATACCCACAGCAATTCAACCTCAAAATTTACCAAACGCTATTACACTGACTTTGGAACCAGCACAGCTACTATAATTACAGTTTACCAAACACTCAGTTGCTTTTTCCTTCAGCACAGTTAAAAGTAATTTTTTTAAAATCCATAGCAATACCAAATTAAGCCAAAGTAAGGCAATGATAAACATTAATGGAATTTTTGGGCGTGTATTATGATTCTTTGTTTATCCCAAATGCTAATTGCATTCTCAAAATTATATGGCCGGATGATGCTTCTACTGCACATTCAATCTTTTATATTAGAGGAATCAACTCTTATTTAATATATATATTTACCCCTTACATGATCCTAATGATTTTATGTGCTCTGCTTGCTTCATTAAAATAACTTTTTGAATCTATTAAAATGAGGGGCTCTTTAGTTTGTTAACACCCATGCCAATCAATCTATATTCGATACATATTATTCATTCTATTCCTTCTAATTTGTTATAGATGTAGCCTCAGAAAATTATATTAATCGTGCTTTTTTTACATGAATAATGAAATTGCTTAATAACTTTTTTTTTTTTTTTTAAACCTCGATCAAAAGCAATAATTAGAATAAGGAGTCTATGATTAAGATAAAACAGTGGACAATCAAAACAACTAAGAGAAAACACATAAATGAAGCAATTACAGGGAGAAGCAAACCATGAACTGAGGAAAGTACGAGGCCTCTAAATATGAGCAGAAGTTTGAAAAAATAACCACCACCGCCATCGTTGTCGCTGCATTCCATTTTCAGGCACTTAATAACCCTCCCTCCCTATGGGAACTCCATACCATCCTGATCAGAATCTGCAAAGCGAGACAACAAGGAAAGGCATTAGCATATTGCTTTTAGAACACAATTTTTGAACTGATTATAGTACTTTAGTTTAGAAGACCTTACAGGGCAAAAACCTTCAAAATAGAGTAAACATACAAGTATGCATAATATATAAATCATCCAACAGACCACAAGGGCCACTGTTTAAAATTGGTCATTTCTTATATTTTCGCAAAGTTTCATTCATTGCCTTTGGAGCGTTTATCGCAGTTTCAATCTGGAATATTCTCGTCATGTGAACAGAGAAATTGGTTGCATACGGGCTTAAGATCAAAACATGGTCGATTTTTTTGGCAAACACATCATCTGGTATGCCTCGAATGCTTGAAGAATGACGGCAACAGAGAAAAACGACAATAGCATGGGAAAACTACAGCACTAGAAAAAAGCATAATATCAGAAAACGACCATAATTTGATAAGCGATAATATGACTGGAAGATGACACATTTAAGAAATAACAATTTATAAAACAGGAAAACAGCTTAAATCTAAGTTGAGAAACGAAAGGCTATTAAAAAACATCAAAGGAACATTAAAAAAACAAAGCAATAAGGACCTAAAACTAAAAGGGACCTTATCTAATAAGTAGCAGATTAATTATAGTTATAATTCGAGTCGACCGAGTTTATTAATTGCTATATTGATGAAAGATCTTCGTAGACCTTTTTTTGAAGTAATAATAATAATAATAATAATAATAATAATAATATCCTTCTATATCGAGATTTTTTTTTTTTAAAGGAAACAATGCACTCTTTTTAATCCGCTGAAGAGTGGCTAAAGCGAGAGACTAAAAATTTGCCAATTTTGAAATATTCAAATACGAAAGTAACAGATATTTTGAATTTGTTTCCCATCGTTCTTAAAAAAATAATTATATCGTTCTTTGCTCACATTTTTGTACAGAGCCTTTGAATCCCTCTGTCTATTTATGAACTTGTATTGTGCTCATAAAAATGTGAGGAGAGAACGTTATAATTATTTGATTAAGAGAATCAAGAGCCGTATTCTCCCCAAACCAAAGCCCTAAACAAGAGGTTCTGCTGAATGTTGAATATGAATGGATATTTATAGTTGTATATGTCTAATTGTAATTAGACTAGGAGTCATCTTCTTGAAGTAGAAAACGAATTCCTTTAGGACCAGCTCACATGGAGTG